GTCGTATGTGTATATATATATATATATATATATACATATATATATACATACACTAAAACATATGATTAACATAAAATATGAATGTTTTGTACTGTCAAATCTAATAAATCCACTATTCAATGTATAATTAATAAAAATTGATTAGTCATTAACATTTTGATTATCTATCATATTGCAAGGTATTAATACTAACTTGGGTATCATGCCAGGCGGTGCTATGAATTGTTGCGTGCTCTGTGGCACATACTCATTAGAATATTGCACCTCTGCCTCTGTGACGAGCTTACAAATATGCATTTTGATATCCGCCTGTGCCTTGGGTGGCAATTTTTTTACTGCTTGAGCCATGCTATCAAAAAATAATTCTATGCTCTTGCTCTCGGGTGCCAAGTAAACCTGCTCAGTATCATTGTTTTTCACACTGCTTGAACCTTTCAAAGGTGATACACCTGGTACTAATGAATTTGTTACTAGAACAGGATTGGGCACTGTACCAGTATCAAGGACACTTGCATTATTGCTTTTAAAGGAAGACTTCTTTGTTATACTAGAAGTAGACGCTTTTGAAGTGGACGGATGATCGGTCTTAATTCGTTTTGGACGTATTTTACGATATTTGGATTGTATTTGCTGGACAAGATCTTGTTGTATTGCATCTTGTTCACTCACTGAATCCTGAACAACTAATTGTATATCGTTGTTGTCCAGTGTTTCTATTGTTTCAGGTATTATTGAAACTGGGCCATCTGATGTTTCTTCGAGAACCTCCAAATATTCTGTATAATCCTCATTGTTTCGGTCTTCCAATTGTTCCAACAATGCTTCAGAGCTTACTTCACCCGAATTTATCCTCTCTATATATTCCTTGGTCAATTCTACACATTGTGGTTGATAGTCTGTTTCATATCTACCAAAGTATAATCCTTGATTAAGAGAATGAAGTTTAAATAAAGTACTAAATTTGCTATATTCCTTACGGGAATTTTAAAAAGCTCAAAGAGTCCTCAAAAATCCATTTCTTCCTTCTTCCACCTTCATCCGTTTTGTTCTTGTATTTTAAGATACGACAGTAGGTGTCTCTAAGATTCTTCCACTTCAACCTCACCCATGTGGCTGCAATGTCAAGCAATTGTAAGTCACGGACATGATAACTCACATGATTTCTTTTTGACATAAGTACTCACATAGGAATCAATTTGACTTATACTTTATTTATATCTTATGTGCAAACAAAATTTTTCATATTTATTTGTAAAATCATTTTAAACTGAAACACGTTTTAAACATAAAATCACAGTTTTTAAGCATTAGAGATTAAAATTCTACATTTAAAAAGATATCTTATATTTTATAATTATTTATAGTTTAACATTTTGATTAATAAATGTAACTTTGACAAGTTGAGTCAATTTACTCCAGTTACAAATTAAGAAAAAAACAACATACGATCTAGTCCGAGCTCGTCCGCGATGTGCCTCCAAACTTTCTGCTTGAATTCTTGCAGCTTCACCGATATGCCCTTCACCTCGGTGCAGTAGAGCACCGGATGCTGTTTGATCGCCTCGATGATATTCAGCGAAATTTGATAGGAATCCGGTGGCACCATCATCTCGCACAAATCTGCCGTCCAAAACCTTCAAAAAAAAGAAATTATTTTGTCATAATGTTAATATTTTCTTCTCCCACAATTGTTTTCGTATTCCCGCCCGGATTTCGATAACGACGGCGACAATGTCACGCGAATGAAAATTCGTCGAAACGTTCGTCGCGTTCCGATGTGCGTGCGTCATTATGGCTCGATTCCGCACAATTGCGCACACGGTCGTAACGTCGCTCGATATGGACGAGATGTGGAAAATCGTCTGATAGGTGCCAAAGAATAATGGTACCTCGCAAATCAGCGAAAATCGCTCGACGATAAGAAGAGCTTGGTAGTCAATGGTCGCCTTGATCAGCCTTGATGAGACTGCTTGAAGCTTGAAGCGACGCCGTGATCGCCAGTTTATTCGATGTCGCGCACTTCCGTCGCGTGCCGGTATTTCCGGCAGCAACTGCTACTTTGTAAAATACAGAA